TGAGTCTCATTAAGTGTTCAGTTTAAGGGTATTACACAGAAACATACCAAAGGAACATGAATCAAATATGTACTTTATTCATTTACAATAAACTCATAATGTACATCATTCTGATTGAAGCTAAGGGCATACAAAAACTGTCTAACAAATACAATACACCCGATATGGGGCACATCTTATCGAAAATTTGATCCTTGATTGAACCCTCAAAGATTTCAAAACCTGAACCAATAAGCAAGGGAAGAACTTAAAATTTTGTCTAATCAACACATTTTCTTCTTCCACCTTTTCTTTTCTTCTTTTCCTATAACAGAAGTAGGGGTTCATCCCCTATACATGCATATATATATTTATATATATAATTTTCTTTCCTTTGTTCTTTTTCTTCTCATAAAATGTTGATTTTCTAGACTTAAACATGAAATTTATAATTCTCATATGAAAATTATGGATAATTATTAAGGAAACATGGTTATGAAACCTAGGAAACTACCCTAGGATATATGGCTTTACTTAAAAATCCATTGCCTAGGTGTCACCTAGGCATCTGCCTAGGTGACTAGGGGACAAGGTGCCCTCTTGTCGCCTAGCCTCGCCTTGGTGCCTTGAAAACTATGCCTCCAACAATATAAACCCACAAATGAATAATTGAATGTAATAATGTTTATTTTATTATTATAATCTCAAAAAATAGGAAGTATTTTGCAGTGCCATTTAGTAAATAGCTAGGCACTTAAGTAAGATGACACTCCACGGGCACTTTATCACCTAGGCATTGCCTTGATAACTATGATCCGTACTACATATTTAAGGGCAAGGGCTATCACCCAATGATGTCCCAACTATCCATTTTTTTTTTTTTTTGAGAGGGGGGGGGGTAAATAATAAAGTACATTAGATACAATTAACCTCTCTCTTTTTTTTTGGCGGAAAATGGTCACTTGCAGACTGAAACCCACATTCTCATACTTGTCCGACCCTTCCTAATGAATCTGTCTAATAAAACACAATTTCAACTTTCTGTACATTTCTTGGTGACTAACGTCATAAGAAATGCCAACCTATAGTTTCCAAGGTGCATTCACTTCTTTATTTGTACCAAGATTTATGAGTTGGGTGGATCATGGATATAGTTTTGGATATGGGTATATAGCTTATGAATCTGGGTTTGGATATGAATAATGCATTTGGATTTGGACATGGATATCAGTTTGGATTGAGTTTGAGATTGGGTATAGGCCTAGCTATGGGCTTGGGTACGGATATGTGCTAGAATATGGGTTTGGACTGGACAATGGACTGTGACTTAAGAGTTCCAGAGAAAGGTCTGATTAATGGCTTGCTTAGGGACTGATTCATGAGTCCAAAGCTAAGTTTGCTGAGAACTGTGTGCTATCATTCCCCGATATCAATTTCATACATTTGGCTTTATGCAGTCTTGTTCATACAGGAGTGCAAATTATCCCTCTTATTCTGGCATAGGAGCAAGGCCTTTTAGCAGTTGCACATCATTTGGGGTGGGCTCTTGGCACCTAATCTGTCTAAGACATGCCTCACAATTTGTGAGATGCTGCTTCCTACCTTGGAGCTCACTTCTAGAGACTCCAATGCTAGGAACCAGCCATAATGCTGGTAATTGGGACTGGACCATCATTTACCAGAATATTAGTGATTACACCCTCATGTGCTAAATTCATCCTATATATGTACTGATCATGTTTGCATATTGCATGTATCCATTTTCACAAGTACATTTTCCAACTGCTATATGGTTTCTTCAGTTGTCCTTAACTTTTATACATTCTTTCCCATTTGCCAGTCAGATGTTAGAACATATGCTCCAAAATATTCACAACTGAAACTGCATCTAGAACATGGAGTAATATCAAATTCTCAAACAGATGCCTTGAGATTTAGGGGTTTGATCTCTTCTCCATCCAAGAAGTGGACGATATGTTCTGCTGCACAAACTCAAACAATAGTTTTGGGTGATGAAGAGAGGAAGATGTGGGAGTCATGCAAACAAGCTCTATCTACATTCAAATTCAGTGACAAAGAGGAAGACATGATATTAGGAAAAGCATTTGGCCAAGTCCATTCACCTTATTGGGGTGAAGAAAGAGAGAAGGAAGTTCCAAAAGTTGATCTAGTAAATGATATACTGGATTATCTAAGGACATTAGGCCTTTCAGATGATGATCTTTGCAAATTACTTAAGAAATTTCCTGAGGTTCTTGGTTGCAGTGTTGAGGATGAGCTGAGGACTAATGTTCGGGTTCTGGAGGAGGAATGGGGAATTAAGGGGAAATCTCTTCGAAACCTTCTTCTCCGTAATCCCAGAGTTTTGGGTTATAACGTGGATTGCAAGGGTGATTGTATGGCCAAATGCACTCGCTGCTGGGTTCGGTTTTAGCTAACTCATTATTTTTTTAATTGCCAGGCGAGTAACCTATTTTTGTGTATGCATTCAATTAAGATGCATTTGAAAAATAACTAAATTTATAAAAGTATTCACTTTTTAGGGGTTGAGTTGAATTCAGAAAAAACTATTTTTGTCTATTCCATGTATGTATTGTTGTATCATTTGATTATGTAAAAACTAGCTCATGGAAAATACAGTTGGGATTATTTGTTCTGTGTTCACTCTTGGGTGAATATGCTAAAAGATATAATACCTTTCTTTTTTTTTTCCTTTTGCTTAGTTGTCTGCATAAAATGATTATGGATTGGTTGGTCATTGATATATTTGATCATTAATGTATATATAAAAATTTTGTTGTACTCTTTAGGTCCTCTCTTTGTAGTATTTTCTTTCATGTGGCTTTAAATTTTAGTATTACCCATTTCGTTAGGTGACTTGGAATTCCTCCATTTTGTTTCGTGTACTCTTCTCACTGGTACAGTGAGGAAAGACCATTTCATTTCATAATTGCAACCTACTTTATAGGCAAACTACCCTTGAAATGCTCCTAATGGTTTCTTTTTTCTGCTAGAGAAATTTGTTCTCTTAGTTAATGTAGTTTCTAACTTCTATAAAATAGCACTGTCAAAAAAAGATGGCTCCAAAAAACATATGAGGGTTACTTCTACTGACATGTCAAATTTAATTGAAGCTTATTTTTTCTATTAAATGAAGGCAATTTCTATGATCCTAGAAGAACTTTGATCAATCAAAACCCCCACCCCTGGTGAATTTTGATAAATACCAGTTGACTGGTTATTTCTATGGTACTAGTTCATTGGTTATTAGTTTTTTAGGTACATGCCCTTTTGGCATCATGGTGGGACTCTTAAATTAAACTTGTATATGCTTGTTCTGGAGGATTTTGGGGGCTACTTAGAACTTTTTAATTGGTAGGATTGATTATTTTAAAGAGGGAAAGAAACAAACAATAAAGAAAAGAAAGTAGTGGGGATCCAACAGCTAGAGAACAGCACAATTCCCTACTCGATTACATAGAAAACCCTCTATGCCACCCCCAAGCCCCAATTAGAAAAATCCATCAAGCTCTAGGTACGAACTAAGCTATGTAGCTTCTGGATGGCTTATGAGTGTTTCTTTTTTTTTTTCTCTCCTTTACTGTCTTTATTTCTCATTTTCAACTCTTATTACTTGAAGCTAATTCTGGAAGACAGTACTCTGATGAACATGAAGGAATTGACATTCTGCACTGATGAAATTAAAAAAATCTTACTTTACTGGGGAAATTGTGTGTGCTGTGTGGTACGATAGAGGATTGCTTTACGGGTGACAATATTGCTTGATGATAATGGAACAAAAGAAAATATTGCTTGATGACAATAGGTAAGTTTTTGGATGCGTCTTATTAAACAACTGGTACCTGTCTATCTGCTTGGGCCTTTTTTCAGTTTAGTTGTGTTTTTTTACGTATTTGGAAAGAGTTGAGAATCAATACTGTAGTTTGGTACTGAAATGGTTCATGTGATTGAGACTTCGTAATATCTGCTTATGCTTATTGTTATTATATGTAAATAAGCTTTAGGGTGGCATTTTTATATCAAAGACGTTAACCCATGCCAGTCAGTTCTAAATGTCTTTTTGCCCATTTGTGGTGTTTATTTTGAGGAGTGATGTTCAGATGTGAGTATTGCTTGCCACTGAATAACCCATGAAAAATCTTATTATGTTCATCACTAATTGGCTCAAAACTAGAAAAGAAGTAATTTTGTAGTATGAATGTTCAAGCCATTGAATGATAGAAATGTTAAGGTTCTGGTTTATTAATATGAGCATTCCCATCAAATAATTAATCTTATAGAAATGATATGATAACCTCAAATAGAATGGAGAACTCAACTGTTTTATGCCTCATTGTTGGCCTTTGTCTTGGTGTCTTGTTTTGAACTCTTCCTGTTTGCCCGGTGCTGTGGTTAGTGGTGCAACTTGGGCAGGCTTGGGTTGGGCTCTTGTCAAAATCTGAATGGGCCTGATCTGAAGGCCTGAACCCGAAGCAATGTAAAATGCTAATTCGGCCCAACCTTGGTTGCACCTAAGGTTTGGTAGTTTTTCGCTCGATAGCTATTAAACTCTATTACTGTACTTGACTTTAAAGGTGTTTTTTTTTTTTTTTTTTTTTTTTTTTTTTTTCTTTTGACAAGGGAAGCATTATTTCATCCATTCATATTCATGAGAAACAACCTTTGGGGACCCCTAATCAGATCCTCCAAGCTAGATTACTTCTCGAGACCTCAGCAAAACCACCTGAACAAAATGTTCACCCTGGTTAAATAACCTCATAGCCATCATTTAGGCTGCATTTGGCATTTCTTATTTTAAGGACTTATCTCCTTTTTGCTGTTAAAAGCTCAGTGTCCATAGAGGCATTTTATTGAGATTGCCATTATAATGTAAAGAAACCGACAGATAATTGAGAAAGAAAATTACTAAAATGAAAACCATAGTTCATAAAACCAGATCAAGTCTTAACCATTCCTATATTTCCATTAATTTAACAGAGGACTTTTAAGGTGGGATGTGTTCACAAAGACATTGATATTGAATGTCACAACGTGTTGCCAATCAAACCACAAATTTATATTGCAAGGTCAGTCAAATGCCATAATGAAATTGCATTGAAGGGTTTAGGCAGTAGGCAATGAATACTGGTGGCCACTTAGTTCCTGCTTAACCTTTTGCATGGTTGGTTCCTTGGATTGGAATGTAAGCATGTAAGTGCCAAGCTTGTCACAAAAGTCACATCCCGAACAACCAATTCATCTAAAGGTGGTGGGAGACGTGGATCTAATACATCTTTCAGCAATATATCCTTTGTAGTTGAGGATGATAATGTGGAGATGAGTTCTCTTGGATGCTTTCCCATTATTATTTCTAGTGCCACCACTCCAAAGCTATAAACATCACATTTTTCAGTCACTTCCATAGTATAGGCCAACTCTGTATGAATAAGTACGCAAATTGGATAAGTAAATAAATAATATAATAAATAAACAAGTTCATTAATGAATTTTGAGTGTCATCTTGAAAATTCATAAGAAAGCTCATGTTAAAGGCAATTGGAAAAATGTTTTTGGTTTTCATACATCATAGATGGGTGATCAGATCCTTTCTCTTTTCATAGCAAGTGTTACTCTTCTTTGATTTTAGAAGGTAAGACATCGTATAAGCCCAGAAGTTTGTGCTTTGACATTATTGATAATAACTATACCATAGAGCATTGAATCGGTCTTGACTCATTAATGTCATTCTTACCAGATGGATAGCATATGACGCTTCCAATTTATAACCTAACTATCCGATTTCTTGTACCTCAACTTGTGATCATCACATGTACAATATTTCTCTAATTTTTCCCTTTTTTTATCTTTTAATTTGTAAATATACTTTCCTAATTAAATTGAAAAAGAAGCTGAACAAAGACCTGATTTGAGAAAAATCTTTAAATATAAAAGACAAAATATCTATAACATACCTGGAGCGACATATCCATAAGTTCCTACCAATAAAGTTCTGTTAGATGAATCAGGATATAGCAGTCGAGCTGTACCGAAGTCGGAGACAATTGCTTGGAGCTTTGAATTCAACAAGACATTATTGGTTGATACATCTCGATGAACTATTGCTGGATTGCAATGATGATGCATGTATTCCAAAGCTTGTGCGATCCCCTTGATAGCATCCACACGCTTAACCCAATCCAATTCCACTGCCTCTGCATCATTCCCCAGAAGACATGCCAAACTTCCTCTTTCCATGTACTCGTAAACCAGAAACATGCATCTTTTGTTAAAACAGAACCCATGAAGTTTTACGATGTTTCGATGCCGAACATGTGTTAACATCTGCACTTCATTTCTAAAACTCTTGGCGTAAATTGGGTCTTCACTTTCGAAGCTATGCAGCTTTTTCAAGGCTACTACGTGACCGCCGGGCAGCTCTGCCTTGCAAACACTACCATAACCTCCCGTCCCAATGCAGTATTTGATGTCAAAATCTTCTGTTATTTGGATGATGTCTTCATATGCGACCTTTCCATCATAATTCCAAATTGAAAAGAGATCTCCATTTCTTGCTCTTCTTGTCTCAGTTTGTAAATTTCTTGCTTTGTGTTTGAAAAGGAAGATGACTCCAACAATTGCAAATATGAGTAATGTGGAAACAAAAAGAGAGATTTTTATAGAGATGAAGGATTCGTTTTCTTTGCTTGTTGCATTTACAAGTCTAGGGGATGGGTGTACAAAAGATGAATTGCATGGAGGAAGGTTCCAAGTTTCACCGCATTAACCTTTGTTGTGATCAATTTGCAAAACTGTACCGACCAAGTCATTCGGTACAAGACCCTCCAAATCATTGTAAGATAGGTCCATGAAAAGCAAGTTGTATAAACTATGTGATGGAATGGTGCCTGAGAGTTTATTATGAGAGAAATCTAGACATTTGAGGGCTTTTAAGTAACCAATCTGTAATGGAATTCCACCAGTCAAATAGTTATTTCTTGAGAGGTCTAGGTACTGCAAAGCAGAGCAGTTTGCAAGTTGGTTTGGAATTGAGCCACTTAGTTTATTTCTTGAGAGGTGTAGGTGCTGCAAAGCAGAGAAGTTTGCAAGTTGGTTTGGAATTGAGCCACTTAGTTTATTTCTTGAGAGGTGTAGGTGCTGCAAAGCAGAGAAGTTTGCAAGTTGGTTTGGAATTGAGCCACTTAGTTTATTTCTTGAGAGGTCTAGGTGCTGCAAAGCAGAGAAGTTTGCAAGTTGGTTTGGAATTGAGCCACTTAGTTTATTTCTTGAGAGGTCTAGGTGCTGCAAAGCAGAGAAGTTTGCAAGTTGGTTTGGAATTGAGCCACTTAGATTATTTCTTGAGAGGTCTAGGTAGTTTAGATTGGTCAACATACCCACTTCACAAGGAATATTCCCAGTGAACTGATTGTAAGGGAGGTCAAGATGTGTTAGTTTGGACCAGTTTCCAAATAACTTGGGATCAATTTCCCCTGTTAGCAGATTTCTAGACATGCGGAATTGTGAAATTTGGGTGAGATTTGCCAGAGAAAGGGGAAGGGTACCGTCAAATTGATTATATGACAGATCCAAATAGACTAATTTTGAAAGAGCCCCGATGTTCTCTGGGATGTTCCCTTTGAGGATTTGGCTTCTGAGGTCGAGATGTACAAGATTTGGAAAGGAGGAGAAGTTCAATCTGTCAAGCGTACCTTCCAAGTAGTAGTAATTTGCTAAAGATATGTTTGTAATGCTTCCTGCCTCGTTGCAACATATTCCTCTCCATTCACATGGGCTTGAATGTGTGGTAATGTTCCACGAAAGCAGCAGATAGCTTTGCGAATCCTCTGAAAGGCTGGCTTTCCAGTTGAGAAGAGACTGGGCTTCTTGTTGGAATGATAGAGAAGGTAATGCAACTACTACACTCACACTACTAGACCCCCAAACCAGCAAAATCATGCAAACAACTGTTTCCAAATCAAGGGATGGAAGGAAGGAGGAGGCCATGACCATGAACACTGCTTAATTAGCTCTGTTGTGTGTGTGTTGGTACCAACCACCAAGATGGTGTAATATCTATCAAAAAACAACTACCAAGAGACTCTTGTCCCATGAATATATGCATGCAGTAGAAGCAACTAATTTCGAAAACGATTGCTGAAAACAAATAAAAAAAACAAAAACTATTCATTCCCTGCCATTGTATTGGATGTAAGAATTGACTATTTTCAAAGTCTTCCTGTATTCAAAGTTAACCAGCGGAAAGCTTCTAGTCTTCCCACCTATCTTTATCTTTGCTTCACAGATATGATACACGTTATACTTAAAAAAAAGGAAACTAAAACTTTAGTGTGAAAATTTAGTAGTAAAATTGGGTTATACACAGCCGGGTAGGAATTTCAATGGGTTGGGTCGGGTTAAATTGTAAAGTAACCCCACACTGACCCGACCCTATTGGGAGTTCTGGTTGGGTCAGCCATAACCAGGTTTGGATCGAGACTTGAGACTGACCCAGAACAAACCGGACCTGCTGTTACGTGTTGGAAAAGAAAATGTAAATATGGTCTTAACAAAGAAAAAGAACAAACCGGAGCTGCTGTTACGTGTTGAACCGATGACTCACAGATGTAAAAACGGTTGAATCTCCAAACCGGGTTTTAGAACATTGATGATGCAAGCAAGGGCTTTCCACAGAAACTCTTGAGCTGTTAAAATCCGGCACTCTGATCTCTAATTAAATTTCACTCAACCTACTCGTAATTGCATTTGCATACCATTCCACTGAGGACTTGTAATTATTACGGGGTGGGGAGAGTCATAACAATTGTGGCATCTTGATATTTTTTTATAACTAAAAGCGACAAGGTATATTCGCACTCAAATGGAATCATTATGATGGGTCATAAATTAGGCCAGGGTGGATTGCCGACCAATTGGAGAAAATAACACATGGTCAAGGCCAAATATTAACATGTAGCAAAGTTTCGGGGAAGTTAAGAGACACCGGCAGGCCATTATCTTTTCGGCAAAGTGCGGACCGGGAATTGGCATCAATTCTGACCCTGTTCTAAACCTTCTTTCTCTCTTATCTTTTTTCCGTTGTGAAGGTGACGTTAGTACATGTCACAATTCTCAAGCAGGATGAGGACACCTGGACCTGAATGGCCGAATTATTAGTAGGGCTATGAATCGCTCGGGTCTGACCCGATTGGGCCGGTTCTGATTCTAAGAACTGGAACTGATGGGTTGGTTCTAGGTATTAATATAGGGCCCCAATTACTATCGGTTTGGAACTATTTCTACTTATCATATATATATAATGTATAATGTATTAAATAAATTATATATACTATACATAATATATATAGAGAGAGAGAATATTTAATATATATTAAACATAAATATTTATTTTTTATTTATTATAATCGGGTCTATCGGGTCAAACTTGATTATTCCGAGAATCGATTGGTTTAGTTTCAAGTCCAAAAATTATAGACCCTATTGGGCCCCAATTGTCAACATTTCATGTCGAGTTGGTTCTGATTTTAGTTAATTCCAGCCCAGACTTGACCCGTTTACAATCCTAACTATTGAATACCCCATCATAACTAACGATGAGCACAATGGCACTATTTGATTTTAATCTCATTAGAGATTATTAAATTCATTCAATGGCGTTTGATTGATTAATTATATCATAGAGCATACCTACACATACACTTTAGAAAATGGTTTTTAAGCTCTCACTAGAACTCTTTGTTTTGATTTATTTTCTCTCATTTTAAGCGTTGTTCCACACTAGAAAATTACAAAACCTGCTATGGATTTATAAATAATAGCTCATTTATACTCATTAAAAATATGATAGGAGAGTATAAAGACTTGCTACTGCATAATGCGCATGTGTATGCATAGGTGTGTATGTACGATGCAATGAGACACTTTAAAGGTGCATTTTGCTGTAGTTCGTGTTTATTTGCTTGAAGGAACTATACTTTTAGTAACATGGAGTTGTATTGTGGGGCGTGCATTGATAATGTGATGTGATGAGAAGCACAAAAATCATTTGCAACTTGCAATTTGTGCAAAATTAGTATGCACAAAAATCATAGATCCGGATTTATAAATCGCAAATTGTAAGTTGCAAGCGATTTGAAAATCACAAATCATAAATTTCAAGTCCCAAATTGTGATTCTCGATTCACAAAATAGTGATTTGGAAAATTACATATGATATGAACTTCACATAAGGATGCATTTGAACTTTTAAAAAGCTAAGCCATGATCGTTAATTATTAACTAACTATGGTCATAACTTGTCAGGTGTGATTAACAGATATTGTTCAAATTTTAACAAACATTAATTATTAACTAACTATGAAAAATCACTAAATCTGAATTTATAACAATATAAAGGGCCTCTTCAAACAGATACACTCATTCACTTTTCAATGTGACTCTCTAGAATCTATAGAAGGATGTAAATCATGTCAGTTCTTATACACAAGTTTTCATTCAAAGTAAGTCATGTCAGTTCTTATACACAAATTTTCATTCAAATTCACATTACAAACACTCTTGTCTCTCCCAATCTGAATTGTTATTGTTTCGCAAAAAATTTCTTTGGAGATTCTTTAACTTTACTGGTTGTAGACTCTCACCCAAGGCTTTATTGTTTATTGGGAATGAATTTTCTTGTAACCTAACAACAAACTCAGTCAATTGAGTGGAGGAAAATAATATTCTAAAGACAATGTTTTTAAATACATCTCAAAGCTTTTCCATCGGTTTTTTGTACCTGTATCTTTTCAAAAATTTTAGAGTGTTACTTGTTTGCAATAAAGGCAAAAACAAGTATAACTTTAATCAAGATGATGAACCAAAACCTCGTTTGACTTGATCAATTTGATTGAGCTAATTTTAGTTGATGGCAAGATAAGATGGTCTTTTTCTTGAATAAGCTAAAACTCTACTATCTATCGGAACAAAATCTGCAACCACTTCCTAAATCCACTAACAAAGACACACATGAAACTAAAGAAAGAAAAAACAAAACAAGAGGATGATTCACTTTTGTGCTGAGGAAAAATTCTAAATGCCTTATCTGACAAAATCTGTAACTTTTACAACTAACTCACATCTTCCAAGGTAATCTAGAAAGCTTTAGAGATTAGGTTATGTTTGATTGCAATGAAAATTTATTTGTACTGATGCAAAGTCATGGTAGTGCAAATGATTTCAACGCAAATTCTGATTTATTTTTATTTCAACGTTTACCTTATTTTTTTATTATAGTACAAATAAATTAAAATAAGACCTCAAACAAAATAAAGTAAAACCCGAAACAAAATTAAACCAAAATTTGCATTATTTTCATTTGCACTCCCGATCATTTGTACTAGTACAAATAAAATTGCACTACAACCAAACACAACTTTAAGTACAAGGGTGTAAAAAGTAGATATGAACAAATATCTTATCATAGAATACTTTGATTTCACCATGAATATCTACTAGAGAAAACTCATTGTTTTTTTTTTCCACTGCATATTGTTTTTTGTTAAAATGGTAGTCATTTTGGTTCAATTTTGTTCTTCATAGCCAAAGCTTACATTAAAAGCTTATCCAAATAGTACCTAAATTACATGAACAAAACATAAATTTTGTGAAATTTGTGACATATGCGGAAACTTCACATAGTAACTTACCTCATTCAAGCTTTTTTTTTTTTGTTGGCTGAACCACCTCATTTAATATGATTGGTATGTATACTGAAAAATAGGTTGGATTCATTGAAATTTATTAGTGTCATAAATTTTGACTTTCTTATATTCTAGAGTGTAGAATTCAACATGAGCCCAACATGAACCAGGTCCACACTCTATGCTGTTAACAGTATGTTTTAATGATTTACTAATTTATTTCAATTTACTGAAGTACTAAATGGTTTAGAACTTAACCATGAACTATGTTTTTTATAAAATCTAGAAGTCTACAAACTTTCTAATGTCCTGAAATATGCTGCATCAAAAGTTTCAAGTGTGTGGGTTTTGTAAGATAATAGACTAAATTGTCAGATCAAACAAGCCTTTTAGATATTTGAAGAAGTGTTAGTACCGGAAATGAACAGTTTGTGAAAAGAAAATTTGTCTCTTTTATTATTGGCCATTTAGTTATTTCGTCAAAATTCTCATTGTCATGGTCCGAACCTTAATTTTACCTGGAAATCAAATTCCTATCTTACCCCAAAAATCCAATCAAGTGACAACCAGATGGTCCACATCCAGCGCAATGTTAACGGTAAGCTATCTAAGACCTGCATTTTAAAAATTCAAGCAGGCTGTCCTGGTTCTATTATTGCAGCACTAGTGGCTTGACAACGCAACAATTAAAACCTAGTTTTCATAGACTAGGATCCTAAAATTTTTTCAATTCTTCAATCTATTCTTTGGGCTAGCTACTAGCCTCTAGACAGGAACTAATAGATGAATCCTTGTACTATGATATTGAGTCCTGCCTCAAATTGGTGATGAGGCCAGCCCCACTTATACAAGTTGATGCTTCATTTGTTGGTACATTTTAATTCCCTACTGATGGTTTTCAATCATCCTTCACTATTGGTTTGGTTATGGGTTAGTTCAGATTGCCAATGGTGGTCGAATCTGTGATTACGATTTATGACTAGAATTTGGCACATCTAGAAACACAGAGACACCTTGAAGTAATTAACATAGAGAAAAATACAAGAAAAAGATGAGTGTAGGTGGCAGTGGAATGTGGAAAAAGAAAATTGAACTTTGATGGGTGTGGCTTATGTAATCTGGGCGATTTGGTATTGGTGACTATAACTAGTGGGAGAGATTGGAGGGAATGACTATAACTATGTATTCTTTCAAGGAAAAACCATAGGAGAGATTCAGAGTTATGTGCCTTATATTGTCCAGAAAATCAAGGATGTTGCTAGAGTAAGTCTCTTGTCTACCTCCTCAACATTACCATTTTCCAAGTGAAGGTTCTTTAATTTGTAATCTCGACTGATTAGTTTTTACTAAGTTGAAATTGCT